CACCAGCAATTGAGACATTCAAATACAATAAAGTATAAGGAGTACAAGCCCTGTCACTAAGCAATGTGATACTTTTCCCATACTCAAATGCCCATGGATAGGGCTTGGAGCAACCTGGGCTAGTGGAAGATCTCCCTACCCATGGCAGGGGGTTGAAAAGACATGGTCTGTAAGATTCCTTCCAACCCAAAGCATTCTGTGATTCTGTGTGAGCTACAATGAGCAGTCTTCCCCCAGAATCATAGGAGATGGTGGTGTCCCAAGAAGACAGACTAATTTTCCCTAAATTTATTAATGGATGATGTTGCAGCAGAAAGCACCATGTTCTAGAAATGCCAACTTCTCAGAAGCTTCTCAGAGTCAAGTGTACTTCACACAACTGGGCACATCAACCAAGCTTAAATCACAGAAGAGATAATTACATGGTCCCAGAAAATCAAGAAGCTGTTCTCTTATACCCAGCTTGGGCTCTGAATCTTCCCATTGAATGCAAGCTGCCATGATAGCTAGGCTTCCGATGGGGCTTTCTCTGCTCTCTCTTGTTTACCTGCTTTCAGGTGTTTTGTGAAGGTTAAAATAGCAAATATGTTCAGTTCCTGGTAGTGGAAAGATGCCAGATGAGACATAAGTTATTAACTTTTCTAAGGTAGAGATTTGCAGGAATTATGTGAAATTAAACATGAATTTCTACTCATACTGCAGTTTTCAAATATCTCTTGAGGATTTTATTGGTTATTCCCTTCATATTTTAATTCTATAAAATCCAGCATGACTGAGGATAAGAGGGAGGATTTTTTTCATTATTAATATTTATTTGAATAATTGAAGAAATTAGGTTTACTTGAATTTGAAATAATTATGGTGAATTCCTGCTGGTACAAAAAAGGACAGACTTCACCCCAGTCCTCCACAGCTATCAGGCTATCATGACAGCTGTTTTCCATTTCATGTATGTAAAGAGTTTTGCCATTCTCCTTTCAAGTATCCAAGTGGTTCTTATTTCATCAGTTGCATCCATCTGTGTTGTCTTCTCTTGACCGTTTAAATCTGCAAGCTCTTCTGAGCAAGGATCATATCATTACATTTGCATAGTGATTATTGCCAAAGGTCTGGAATCAATGAGTGTTCCTATAATATAAATAGTTATGGAAGAAATTAACAATCTAAGCCCAAATGACAAGGCACTTGTAAATAGCATAGCTAGATCCTGATAATTAAATTAACTGTAAAATCAGAAGGAACACTGGATAGCTGCATAAAATCCTGTGAAGAAAATGTGTACTTGCACATTGTCATTTTGATCATCCTGAAAATACCAGAAAACAAAAATTAAGGTTTTGTTTTCTAATTCACAGTGAGAAGAACTGTCAATGATTGGTTTTAAACCAAACTATGTAAGCACACAGTAAGATCATTTTAGTCAGATTTCTACACTGCGTTGAATGACTTCTGGTGGAGAACAAAACAGATAATATATTCAGAGACATTAGGATTACACAAGATAGAACTGGAAAGAGACATCCAAAAATTAAACCTGAAAAATGTTATTGTTAAGGGGGCAGTAATGCCTTCCTGTGACTGACTCCTCATCATGAAGGCATGTGCTAGATTGCAAAAACAGTTATCCAAGAATTATTTGTAACAAAATGATGGAATGATAGAATAATTTGGGTTTAAATGGATTTTTACAAACCATCCAGTTCCACACCCCCTGCCTTGGGCAGGGACACCTTCCACCAGATCAGGTTGCTCAGACCCCCCATTCAACCTGGCCTGAGACACTCTCAGGGATGGAGCAGCCACAGCTACTCTGGCTGACCTGTGCCAGGGCCTCACCACTCTCACTGTAAAAAGTTTCTTCCTAATATCGAGTCTAAATTTACCTTCTTTTAGCTTAAAAGCACAATCCCTTTTCCATTTGCTAGAGGGCTAATAAAGAGTCTGCCCCCATCTTTCTTATAAGCACTCCGTAAGCTTTGAAAGTCTGCCCACCACTATCACCATAAGGAAAAACTGGCATTATGCAGGTCCAACTGTTGAAATGCTTTTTCAGAGATTTCAGAGTTCTAATACCCATAATATTTTAAGGAAAAATCTTTTCATTCTCAGTAGTAGTCACAGAGCAATTGAACATTAGGATTTGTTAGAATTAGAGAATGTACAGAGAATGTCCTCAAGCTGTTGCATGTCTGCTTGTGCATCCACACACTGAATGCAAGGAAAGAAAAATGGGTGTCCAATTCCAAAATGGATTCCAAAACAGATTGGGCTTAGAGAATAGGAAGATGAATAAAAAACATAAGCAAGAAAAGAAAATGCCTCCTAACTTAAGACCAATAGCTGGACCAGGAAGCTTCAGTCTAGGAAGGAGATGAATGAAGAGCAGTATGAAAGAGCCCTTTAAAATCTGCAGTGCTTTGTCCAGTTCTGGGCAGAACAAGAAAAATAAAAACTTGCTGAGAAAGGGACGTCACTGTAAGGGGAGGCTGAGAGAGCTGTGGCTGCTCAGCCTAGAGAACAGAAGGCACAGGGATATCTTATCCACATGTATAAACAGCCAGTGGAAAGGAATGAAGAGGAGGGTCAGATTGTTCTATACAGTGCCCAGCAGCATGACAAGAGGTGTGAAGGTGGTCAAATCTGGGGACAGGCTGCCCAGAGAAGTGCTGCAATCTCCATCAGTAGATGTGCACAAAACCCAGCTGGCCATCTGCTCCAAATGGCTCTTTTTGAGCAAAAGAGTTGGACCAGGTGGTCTCGAGAGGGTCCCTCTATCATAAGCTACTCTGAAAATCCTGAGTTATAAGGAAATAAAAAGCAGTAAAGAAGAAATGACTGCACTTTTCTTAGTGAATAGATGGTATCAAGAGGAAATTAACAAGACAAAGGTTGGAAACAAATAAAAGAGCTTTTTAGACAGTGCATAATTGAACTATGGAGCTCTTTATCATAGTGTTTGTGATGCTAAATAACTATTAGGTAAATGCACGGAAGAAACACTCATCAAGGTCAGTTAAATATAGTATTACCCACAATTCATGGACTTCCTAAATCTAAAAGTTACTGGAAGCTGAGAGAATAAACCGAAAAATATTCATATATTCTTAATCTCACTCTTCTGTTGACTTTTGTTACTTGACACAGTTGAGATCATGACATGATACAGCTGACCTTGCAGAGCTGGTCCTATGTTTAGAAATACAATGCATGTGCATTCTGTAATCCATTTCACTGCAAATGCTCGGGGGGGTGGGGGGGGGGACGGGAAATCAGTTTTTTTAGTAGAAGAAAATGTACCTTAAGGAGAGAAAGAAATTATTTGCAAAGAGATCAGATTTGTTCAGCAAGACAGTTCCATTTTCATATCTGCTTTTGATGACTACCAAGGCTATTTTAAAAATTGATATTCCATATATAATACAGAAAATTCCATACTGAAAACAACTCAAGCATAAGTGAGTATTTAATAGGCTTTTCAGAGGCTTGGTCTACTTCTAAAGTATAGATTTTTAAATAAAATGACTTAAATGAGCTTTGTAAAACCACTTTTAGTCCATAGTAGTCAAGACAAGCCTAGACTCCAGTGAGTCAACTGCCTCTCAGATGATTTGGACAGATTTTATAAAACCCAACAAACAGTGATTTTGTTCTCTTTAATCAATTTTCCACAGAGGGACCTACTATGAATGCAAACCCTGGTACTGCTGACAAACAGAACTGTTTTGAGATATTCTCCCTTTCCCAAAAGAAGTCAAAAACTACAGATATATATTTTACATGTATACTTTGTTAAGGTTTGTTTTCACCACAATGTTTTCAACTGGTGGAACAGTTTGATTAGCTGAAATTAACTATAGTTTATGGAAATTATATCTGCCACAGGAAAAGACACAGAGTGACACAGCAGGACATGAGAGGCTGCTCTGGAAGAAATAGTTTTCCCCTGAAGATAGTACAGTTCATTTGGGATTCCACTTTAATCACGTGCTGTGGTCTCTCAGTATGTAAAAAAAAGACCCAAATCAAAAGGGAATTACCGCCTGCAGATCACACAGTCCAAGAGACATGAAAAATGACGCACTGCTTCTGTGGGGAATGATTTACTGGCTCAGCACAAGTCCCTAAGAAAAAGGGCTTCTATTTTGTTTCTTCACAAAAGATGAGGAGAGAACAACTGTGCTGTGGCTCAGGATACCTAGTTCAGATCTTCTTCATTATGAGTTTCCAAGGGAGATTGTCTCTAGTAACAAGCTCACTTAAGGACAGACTTTTCTTTCTATTGTCCCACATCTCATTCTTGCCCCTGTGTTACACTGTGAAATTGTGTGCAATGAAATCATACAAATTAACGTGAAACATAGTGACAAATACAGGGCTCTCCTGAATGAAGAAACTGGATGAAAGTTTAATTGAAAGAAGTTATCAATGTAGTTAAAGTACTTCCAGTTCAAAGGAAGATCTGCCTTGTTAACACTTAAATGAAGATAAATCAATTCTTGCGCACTGCTTAGAGCCCCCAGAAACTCTGCTGTGAGTGAAAAAAGTTCCCTACATGTTGAGGAATGCACATACCTGCTGGGCAGTACTATGGAAGGAAACACAGACCACAGAGCTCCATCCTTCCCAGCCCTTGGGGACTATCTCTATATTTTGGAAGGATAGCTGAGCTTCCAGAATAAGTCCAGTTCTGTCTCCATGATGTCACTGCCTTTTAAGGGCTTTCTGTGAAGGGTTGAAATGCTTTGGAAAAATTTCATTGTGGGCTGAGGGTGGTTTAGAAGGTTGGTGCACATTCATCTTGACATCTAGTCTTTTAATCGTCATATATTCTAGTGGGATGAGTGGCAGATATTCACTGGCAGACAAATGGCAAACAAACATTTAACAAGATGGGTTAAAATTACTGCATTGAAACAACTGGTTCTTTGAACATTGGAAGTTCAAAGAATGGAAGAGACTGGTCTGCTACAGGGTGGTCACTCAGCCAGATTTTCAGATGGTGATAATATTTCTTGGTTTAGTTTTGGGTTTTTACTTCCTGATGCTAGGAGCATTATAAACATTTCTCTTTTTAATGATTGTTGCTCTCACACTGCAGCTGTTCTAATCAGCAAAGAAATGAATATGGTCTCCTTTCTCAATTAAAAATTAATTTTAATGAAACATACATTCATAAAATCTCTTTGTAACCTCTCCAGTCCACCAGATGTAGTTGAAGCCAGCTTCAGCAATTATACTGTGAGGAAGCTCAGATAGATGAAAAGTGATAACATATACCTTCCAGCACTGAAAATGATCTCCTCAGCTTTGATGTCTGTCAAATAATTTTAAGCTAGCAAATTTCTCCTCTACCAATCCTCAGAATAAGGGATATTAGGAGCTTGAATTTTATATTAAAAAAAAAAAAATCTGGACCCAACATGTTGTCTTATTGAAAAGTGCTGTTTTATTGCTTTACAACCAGGGGCAAAACCATCACCTTTGACAGAAAAAATTAACACTCACTTCTAATCTCCTCTACTGAATAAACTACTTTTTAAAACAGTTTATTGTTACTATTATATTTAAAACAACTCACATTGTCTGTACTTCTGTCTTCTGAGTGTGCCCATCCCGTTGTCCTTCAGTCTCTGGGCAGAACTTTCATGGGTTCAAATGGAAAATATCCATGACAAAGTCTAGGCCTATCCCCTTCAAGATTATCCTTGTCTACATTTTATTGCAAGCAGCTTGAGCAGTCTGAACCTGATGAGGGTTTTACAGTCCTGATCTGCAGCCTGAAGAGCTCCTCAGCTTTACAGACACCTCAACCAGGGCAAAGAGCTGCACTTGGCTGGAATTACATAAAGTTCAATCAAGGCACAGCAGCTATAACATCCTTGTGCAGCTCTGTGATTCGTGCTTCAAGCTTTCCAATAAATTACTCTTTTTACAGCCTTGATGGTCTGTGATTTCACCTCCCTCACAGACAAACTATTTTTCCCAAGTTTCAACATCTGCAGAGAAGCTTGAGTGTCTGTAGGTAAGCCAAGGAGGCAGAGGATGATCCCTCCAGCTAAGGCAGTGACACAGTTAAAGGCGCAGTAATCCTTCTCTCCTAGAAGTGATGGAAAAGCTCCATAATGGAGCAGATATTCCCTGAGCTGCACAGATGCCACATTAGTGCTACACCCAAGTGTACAGTGGGAGCTAATTGAGGCAATTGAGTGGGATATTGGAGCATCGGAGGAATTGCCAACTCGACACCCAGGCAGGGACTCAGGTGTGCTTCAGGAACAAATTGGATCAGGGACTGAAGGCAAGACGAGGCTTTGACAGGGGAGGCAGCAGGCTGGGGAGGGAGAAAAGGCAAAACAAAAGAATAATTAAATAAAGGAGTTTGGCACAGCAAAGAGTGAGGGTAGTGCTTAAAATAAATGCAGTGCATGTCTCAGTGCAGGGCTTTGAGGGAAATAGTAGGATTTGCTGGAAGCCCCCTGATGACGTAGGACGGGAGCTGTTCCTTGCTCAGGTTCCCAGACGCTCCTGCTCCTGATGATGATGATGGTGCAGCTTCAGCAGGTGCTCAGCTGCAGCAGTTGCTTCCTTCCATGAGAGTCCAGCGTGCAGTCTGGGAGGGAAGGAACAGACTTGGGAGCTCCAGGGATGTGTGTGCTCCACAATCCCCATCACTGAGGCACTGAAGTAATAAAAGACCTCTAAAATCATCGAGTCCAACCACTGACCCAGTACTGAGCTGAAACCTTTCTTGATCACAAAGGGATGGGTCCTGCCTTTCTGACGGAGGCAGCTTTTCATGCCAGTTTTGAGGCATTTTAACATTTCCTCCATTTCAGAGGCAGTCTGAAGGCTACTCTGAGCTGCTGCTGGAGAACAGACCTGTCCTTCATCCAGGAGGATGTGGAGAGTTGGGCACTACAAGACTGGGCCCTTCCCACCTCTGACACCAGCTTAAAATGAGCTACAACCCACCCAGGGATAGTATCTCTTTCTAATCAAATAATTTAGCCACCTGAAAACTTTGCTGGATCATGTTCCTGTTGCTATAGAATGTTGTAACATCTGCCTGGAAACTTTTTTTGGTCCGTGGAGTTACCATCTATAATCTTTGAGCTGTTTTTAGACTGAGCAAATGCTTTGTGCATATTAAGTTTTAGTGCTTCTGTCTTCTGATGTAACTTAACAATGATGCGAAAATAGTTTCAGTTCTGAGTTTCCCATGGAATTTGGATTGTTTTGCCACCATCTGTCTACATTACTGACTTTCAAAACTGTAGGAGATTAAGACTGATAGTTTATCAAGCCACCATTCTGATGTTCAGCTTTCTGGCAGACTGATGAAAACGTGTGTTGAATCCTAGTTTTAGGAGCAGAAAGTCAGCCCTGAAGAAATGAAGCTGAGACAGGGAAGGTTTCATCTGTATATTAGGGAAAAAAATCTTCACCAAAAAGATTGTCAGGCACTGGAACAGGCTGCCCTGGGGCAGTGGTAGAAACACAGTCTTGGGAAATGTTCAAAAATTGTTTAGATGTGGCACCTGGGGAGGTGTTTTCATGGTGAACCTGCCAGTGTTGGGCTAATGGTTGGATTTGATGGTCTTAGAGGTCTTTCCAGTCTTAATGATTCTGTGTTTCTTAGTAATAACTATTCTGTAATGCCCTAGAAAAAGCTAATGAAATGGTTTAGGTCCCAGAACTCTGAGTTTTGTATGGCTCTTTATGGTCTTTAAAGGAAAAAGTTCAAAACAAAATATACCCAAAGTTAGGAAGATGAGGTTTTCAAGAAACAGAAGGTTTTTTTTAAAAAAAATCTGCAGAGGATATGATGGTACTGTCTTTTTAAACTGGACCTTTTACATTATTTCTAACACCCAAATACCAAGAAATACATCCAGCTACTCATTCATCAGAGGCACCTATGGTATTGGCTTGATTAAAGGCATGTGAAGTGCTCTGGGCTCTATATTTTTAGTTTACAGAAGACTCTGTAAAGGTGAGTTTTATGCTGTTTTATACAGTAGTGGACTACAGAGGGCAGGATTTCTAGCCTGCCTTTACTTTGTTGTTTGGGGAGGCACAAAAGTGTTTCCAGTAATAAACTGATTGAGCATTTATCTAATTCACAATAATTTTCATAGCACCTTGTCTTGGGTCTTTAGGTGACTCTTCAGATTTCCACATCACCTGTATAATTTCTTCTTATCCTCATTCAAAGGTCAAAATTAGATTAGACACTCTAGTATTAAAAGACCATTTATGTACATTAACTCAGGGAAATAAAACCCCACCACACAACACTCTGGCCACTGTCATGGTTTGACATGGGAAGAGAAATTTTTTTGGAAGGAAGAGGTCAATCCAGTCAGGCGTCAGGTTTGGATACTGACACTTGGGGTGACCAGTTGAAGGTGGACACGCCTCTGAGAACACAGAGGGGTTAAAAGCGGAATTCCCAGGAGGACTCGTCCTTCTTTGGTTCCGGTCATCGCAAGGTACGGACCTCCCCTGCCCAGCCCGGGCTGGGTGGGGGAGGGGAGCCATGCGGCCTGCAGAGGTAGGCCAGGGGGTGAAGGATCGGAACCGAGCTGGGCCAGCTCCTGCGGACGGAAGGGTGGAGAACATCTGGGATGTCTTTGTTCCCCCTCCCCTAAGCTAGAGGGAAAAGAGATAGAGAGCCAGCAGGCACCTGGGAGTTTGCCGGCAGAGGAGAAGGAGAAGGGGGGGGAAGATGCCCAGCATGGGAGATGGGAGACGGAGTCCTGGGCTGAGATTTCAGCTGTCCGGGGAATCCGGGAATTTTAACCCTTTCCTGTGAAATGAAGGCTTTATGAAATATTACTCCTCCTCAATTTGAAGGAAAGAGAGACAGCCTGGGACCTCAGATGTTCAGAGAAGAAGGTTGGGGGGAGATGATGGAGTGGCTTTTGGCTGGACTCTGCTTGTTTACCATAGACTGAACCACTCTTTCTTTCAAGAGGGACTGCATTTTAGGGGGATGCACTGGTGAGCCAAGAGACCTCCTTCAGCAACTAACAGTTCTGGAGTGGACAGAGAGAGCTAAGGAGGGTGTGAGGATGCCCTCCATCTTCAGAGAAGAAGAGAAGGAGATCTCTGTCCTTGGATCCTCGGCCTCAGGGGAAAATGGGGGGGACTCTAGTCCTAAAATGCGATACTGGACTGTTGTTCCTGGTGATCCTTGGCTGAGCATCCTTAAAGGGGCCCTATAAGCAGTCTCTGTCCATGCACGGTGGTGAGAGCACTGTGACATGGAGTGTCACACTGGCCGGTGTGTCTGGGCAGTGCCACGTGTGACATGGAAACACAAGAGGTGGCAGCTGTGTTTCCTGGGGATCTGTGGTGCAAGGGGGACTCCTCTCTTCCCCGATAGATTCAGTATTGATTATACTGAAGGGTGAAAACTGGATTAAGGATCTAAATGGGTCTCGCTGTGGTTTGTTGGAGTTGGGTGCTGGGAGGAGGAATGTTTTGGAAGGTTTTCATTTTGAAGTTTGTGTGTTTTTTTCCTTTTTCTTCCCCTTTATGTTATTAGTAGTAGTGTAATAAAGTCTTTCCTTTGTTCTTAAGTTTGGCCTGCTTTGCTCTGTTCTCAATCGCATTTCACAGCAGTTGATTGGTAGGTTGCATTTTCATGGGGTGCTGGCATTGTGCCAGCGTCAAACCATGACAGGCACTAAGCAAGGTCCTAACTGCCATGAAATGTCATTGAGCTGAATCCATCCTAGAATTTGTTCTCCCCAGGCAGAATGGGCACAGCAAACCATTTGTCTGAATGGCTCCCCTGGGAGTAGTTATGTCCTAATTTTTTTTTCTGCAGTACATGAAGTTCCCTGCCATCCCTTCAGCCCTGTTGATACAGGTGCAGTTTAAACCAGGTCTGTGGAATTACTTGGGTTAAAACAAACAGAAAAACCTTATTTACTGCATCATTTTTATGTTTTTGCCTTGTTCAACATCACTGTAGACTGTTGTGCTGGTACAGCAGATGGGAGGGGAAGGTGAAGGGGGAAAAAGGAAGGGGAAAGGTAAGGGGAAGTTTTCTTTAGAGAAGGAAACTGAAGGAGTGTCTTTACCTCCATCCTTTTTTGCTCTTTTCTTTCTTGATAGGCAAGGATTTGAGCTTGGCACATCATTAATAGCTAGTTCCCTTTCAAAGGGAAAAAAAGGTGGACAGTGACGCCCAAGTTAGAAAGGAAGCAGAGGAATGCTGTGTAGTGCATGCATTTTCGTGACACACATGATCAATTTCTTTTTAATACCCCAGCATTTTCTCATTTGAACTGCTGCCTGCTATTTGTTTTATTTTAATCTGTGTCATTCCTCTGTGTTTATTCTTCCCACTGTCCCTCAAGTTCTGCATTTCTATCCAGACTCCTATGATATTAGCAAGCCTTTTCATGAAGGGAGGACTGTGTTTGTGACGAGAGAAAACTACAATAAATTACCTATGCAATTTGTAACTGTCAGGGAACAAAATACAAAAAAATAAATAAAACAAATGTTTGCATTTGCATTCCATACACGGGACTTTGATTTTCCACTAAAACTAAACTCTTTATCTGAACTGTCAATGTTATAGATGGTGCCTTTATATATTTAAAGATTTGCATAATTTTTATCAAATTGATGCACTTAACTGATTTAACATTCCAGTTGCTTATTTAGAAAGGGGAAAAAAGATAATATTTTAAAAGAATATGAAAAATGGATTGTCTTTATTCAGGTCAGTTCATTAATCTGTCTTGCATTTGTTCACATCAGAAAGAGCAGTTCTTTCTGGTGGTTATTCAGGATATAGTGCCTGAGAGATACGTTCTGGGATTGATCATCCATCTTGGTTTTCAAACTCTATTTATAAGTTGTCACTCCTCTCATATTCTTCTGTTACCAGAAGTCCACACATGGTGCTGAATTCCCTGACCAAAACTGAAGATCAATTCAGGAATCACTAGTTGAAACAAGGAGGTTTGGGTTGGGTTGGTTTAGTTTGATTTTTTTTTTTTTTTTTAATGTTAAGTTCATGATTGTATTTTCAGATCCTGATATCAGCTTTGACCTACTGGATACTGTATGTTTTTATGACCATTCTGCACAGATGGTGCAAATCTGCCATGGTTCCCCAAAACTGCAAATTCTTCACAGCCTAACACAGTCTATCAGAGCTGCCTTTCCCTGTCCCAGCACTGGTAAGGCCCATGCCTAAAGAGTTCAGGCAGCAAGCCAACAAAATCCTTATCCATCACTTTTATAATACTGGATTTCTTATGGCTGAACTCACTGAACTGATTTACTCAGTGAGCTCAGGAACACCAGGGGTGGTGCAAGTGGGACAGGGTATCTCTCTGTGGCAGTCCCAGTTCAATTTATCTTGCCATGGAGGATAAATTGAACTATCTTCACCTTTGAACTACCTCAGACTGTTGATACAGCAGATTTTTATACTGAAACTGCCCACTTTGGTCCCTGGTGTCTAGTGTGTAACAGTTTGTTTAACAGTCTTAACCAGGGAAATCATATTGAGGAGTATTCAGTCCAGTGCTCTAAGGCATAATAAAACTGGATAGCAAGAAGGTTAGTTCAAATAAATTCAAATGGAAAAGAATTAATTCAGTCAAGGTGTTTAAGCACTTTGTAAGCTTGGCAAAGGTGGTGGTAAATTCACAGTGGAAGGTCTACACCAAGACTGGATGTCTTATTAATGATAAGCTATAGTTCAGCCACCAGCAAGTTATTGGGCTTGACAGTGTTCAGTTAGGGAGAAAGAAAGAATAATTCTCTCTGCCACAGCAGGTGAAATCCTATGGCCTGTGTTAAACAGAAGGTCATGCTTGCAGAGGGCTATGATCAATTCTCCTTCGAGATCTATGAATCTCTGCTGGTAGGTGGTTTAGGCTTCCATTTGCTCTGTGTTTTACTGAATATGTGAAGGGAAGTCCCAAACCTCTGTATGTGAAATTGGCTGCAGCTGTATTAATCTCTCAAAAGCTCTCTGGCCTCTAAAAACATACATCTCAATACTAAGAGTGACAGATTGCAGTGTCATCTAGGCACTCCCAGGCTGCTGAAGCCCCAGAATTTGTGTTACAGTATTAAAAGTTTAAATCCTGTTTCTAAGAAGGAAGTGGTGATTGTACACTTTCAAATTTTGTACCCCATCATCCAAATCAGTTTTGGACCCTCAGTATTATGTAACCTGGATTCCCATCTGGGAGAATCCAATGACTGAGGAAATGCAGCAGAGAACCCATAGTAGGTGAGATGTGTCTGAAAGCAGTGGGCCTCTACGTCCATGAAAAATCCAACTCTAGGATTTTTATATTTTTTTTTTTTAACCTCATGAGATGACAGTTTCTGCTCTTTTACCTGAAACTCTGTGTTATGCCTCTCATGAATGAGAGCTCAAAAACTCCACCTGGCTAAGATGGTGGAGTTTATCAAGAGCACTAGACATCATAGAATCACTCAATACCCTGAGTTGGAAGAAACCCACAAGGACCATCAAGTCCAACTCCTGGCCCTGCACAGGGCAGCCCAAGGATTCCACCATGTGCCTGAGCACATTGTCTTGAACTCCATCAGCCTTGGCGCTGTGACGTTCCCTGGGGAGCCTGCTCCAGTGTGAAAGGGACCTATCTGATTTTCATTTATGCCTCAGCATAAGTTATATTCTTACAGGGGCTGACCCCGGAAAGAGTTCTCTTGGCAGCCACTCACGGCAGACACAGCCTCCAGGACTAGATTGTGAGTGAAAAGCCCGGATGCCTGCCAAAAATGCCCGCCAAGCCGGGCTGTGGGAGGACCTTAGCACAGAAAAGCAGTAACTGCGATGCTGCAGAGGACGCTTTGTTTGAGTTTCTCAGAGGGAGCGGCACCTTCCCTGCAGGATCCGCTCTGCCCCCACACCCCCTGGACTTTTTCTACCTGTTGTCCTTCTTCCCTGCTTCATCTTTCCCACAAATCATCCTGTCATCGTGACGATCGCTCTGCTGCATCCCCCACGGAGCGGGCGCCGCTGCACCCAGCCATCCCCACCGTGCTTCCTGGGCACGGCCATCCCTGCCGTGCTTCCCGGGCACTGTTATAAAAAGAGGGATTATAAAGTTATGTTAACCTTGTTATAAGGTTGTTATTGTTGCTAATCACTTACCTGTGTTCATTCCTGGTTAGAAATCCTCCTGTGTTAGGTGCTGTTTCGCTGTGCTGCCAGCTGTTGCTTCCTGGAAAATGGTGACCGGGCCTGTGAGGAGGAAGTGACATCAGAGACAGTATGCAAATGCAAGAACTCCTCAGAAAACACACTAAAATCCCCTGGAACTACGAGCCTGCACAAAATTATGGACCGGGACACTTGCAGAAGGTTGAGCAACTAACTCTGGGACCCAGAGGGAGGCTTTTAATCTGTTGCTCTAACCTACAGAAACTCAGAGTAGCATGAGGACCCCAGACTTTGACACAGACTATGAGAAGGGAAAAAGCCCTGCCACTCTCGCGAGGATGGGTCTCCCAGCTCTGCCTGCTCATGAAGCGGACAAAGCTGCATTTCCTCCTCCTCGGCGTCCCTCTGGGAAGCAGTGGCGGCGTGTGCACAGCCTGTCGGGCCCCCACCCGAGCTGATCTCGCTAAATAAAGGCATTTTTAAGGAGAATCATCTCCTGTCCATTTATTACAGCTGGGGGCTCGTCTGGGATTGCCCACGCCCGAAGAGGACACCAGGACTGGCCATCTTGGACCTCCAGGCAGTCGCCTACCTCTGGACCTGAAGATCAACTCGGGACTTGGGATGAAGAGGAGCGCCGGATTGGTGAGAACCACCGGTGGCGGGAGAAAGGAGGCGAGCGAGTGGGGTGTAAATGAGATGAGGGCTGGCAGCTCGGACCCTCGAAGTGAGTGAGAACCCCCTAGTACCGCGGTTTCAGACTCCCGCGAGGGGGCCGGCCGGGAACGAGGGGAAGCGAGTGAAATTGGAGAGTGAGAGGCGTCTCCTGAAGGGAGGATAGGCATTGGAAGTCCTGATGAAGGAGGTCAGGCATTGAAGTCCTGGCGAGGGAGGCCAGGCGAAAGCCCTGCCGAAGGAGGTCAGGCATAAAGTCCTGGCGAGGGAGGCAAGGCATTGGAAGTCCTGACGAAGGAGGTCAGGCACTGGAGTCCTGGCGAGGGAGGCCGGGTGTTTAAAGTCTTGATGGAGGAATGCAGGGATAGAGGTATTATTTGTGTTGCCTGTCAGTTTTTTCCTTTCAGGTAGAGGCACCTTTTGTTTTGTTGATTAGAAAGTCTTTCAAGGAATTCCGTTCCAGCAAGGTGAATTTCAGTTGAATAATAAGATTTGTGTTGCCTTTCAGTTCGATTACTTTTGGGTAGAGGCACCTTAGGATTATTGTTTTTATTGGTAAGAGGGAGGTGGGAGCCGTAGGTAGTAAGAAGACAGGGGATCGAAAGATTAAGGGGAAGGGGAAGAAGAGGAGAGATATTCCCCCCGATAAGTCCCTTGGGAGAATTGCTAGAAAAATGGAATTTATCCATGGCCTCCAAAGGGCTAGACAAGATTAGAATGATACGCTATTGTGTGGAGGTCAGGCCAGAACTAAAGCTACAAGGAGGAGGGTGGCCATGGTGCGGAATTAAAGATCAATGGATGTGTAAGCAATTAGAATACTATTTGAGGTCCCAAGAGGACAGTGATACAGAGCAGTTGACATATGGCATGGCTGAGGATGAGGTGGTAAAAATATGTAAAGTACAAGAGAAGAAGGAGGAGAATAAACAAGAAGAGGAGTCAAGGGAAAGAATCAATAAGAAGTGGGATCCTTTAGACTATGTACCTCCTCCTATTGACCCTCCAATCTATCCTCCTCTTCCTAGGGCACCCCCAATGGCAGATCCAGCTCTTCCCCTGGCTGCCATACCTTTACCGCCCCCTCCAATTTCTCCTCCTCTACCTCCCTTAGAAACCTTTCCCTCATCACCTTCTTCAACCCCTTCAACTGCCCCTGTGTCACCACCACCATTGTCTACTCTACGTGTAACACCTCTTACGCCCTCTCCAACCTCCTTAACCATGCAACCGAGTCCCCCACCTTCACTGGCCGGTAACTGCCCCCCTTCTTCAAGCTCCGTCATGGGCACCCCTATATCAGGCAATCTTTTACTATCAGGTATGGCCACCGATTTACAACAGGTCCAAGTCAATAAGACTCTCAGGTAGGGAATCTAGAGCCAGAAGGGGGACCATATTGTGGCACACGGTCTAAGACATTGAAGGTGGAGAGACTCTTCCCCCTTAGGGAGGTTCCCATGGGTGGGGCAGCAGGCGGAATGGGTTTTGTTAATGCGCCACTAACTGCATTTGAATTTAGAGGGTTTAAGAAGGAGCTAGGCAACCTGGTGGAGGACCCTGTGGGTATTGCCACTCAAGTAGATCACTTTTTGGGGCCGAACATTTACACCTGGGCGGAAATGGATTCAATTTTAAATATATTGCTCTCCTCGGAAGAAGTACGGATGATTAGGACAGCAAGCATAAAAATACAGGAAAGGGACCACTGCCCTGGAACCCAAATGCCCACAGGGGAACAAAAGCTACCTATAGAAGACCCTAATTGGAATCCCAATCAGGAGGCAGGAAGAAAGGCTATGATGGATTATAGATCATTAATAATTAGAGGCATAAGAGAATCGGTCCCTAAAGGAACTAATACAAAATTGGCATTCGAAAGCGCACAGGAAAAGGATGAAACTCTGGCCACTTGGCTCAACCGCTTAAAGCGGAATTTCCAGCTGTACTCCAACATAGACCCGGATAGTACAGAAGGACAAGTACTATTGAAAGTACAGTTTGTTACTAAATCCTGGCCAGATATAAAATGAAAATTAGAGAAGATTGAAGATTGGCAGACAAAGGATATAAATGAACTAGTAAGAGAGGCATTACGTGTCTACTTGAGGAGGAAGGAAGCGAAAACGAAGGCTAAAGCCAGACTGATGGTGGCGGTGGCTAGGGAAAGTGTGGGAGTCAGTGACCTTACACCACAATCACAGACAGGAAAGAGGTGGTCTGGCCCACCACAAAGAAGAGGCAGGGATAGACCACCATCATTGAGCACAGGCAATGAACATGAGAAAATAGAGAAAGCACTGGTTCCTTTAAGTGGGAAGCGTTGTTATTGTGGGGAAGTAGGGCACATCAGGAGAATGTGTAAGAAGCTTAGTGTTGATGAGGCGATAGCCCACGAACAGGAAGCGTTAGAGAAAATCTTAAAGAGTGATGACTAGGGGTGCCTGGGGCTCTATACATTAGGGGCCCCGATCAACCATTTTTCAGAGCCCTTGGTGAATTTTGAAGTGGGATCCCTAAATGAGGAAGTTGAATTTTTAGTGGACACTGGGGCAGATAGGTCCTGCCTCAATAAGTTACCAGAGGGAATGAAAATTGGTAATAAATTTTGTGAGGTACTGGATGCTGAGGGAAAACCATTTAGTGCCGCAGTGATTGAAAAAGTTAAAATAGTTGGAAATTCAAGACAGTATGAAGCTGATTTTATTTACTTACCTAAATTAGAGAAGAGTCTATTAGGACGAGACTTGCAAGTGAATCTGGGTGTTGGAATTGTTCCTAGAGAAGGGAGAACGGTAGTTGGAATGATGAAATTATCTCAAGGGGACGTAGCAGAAATAAATCCGGAAGTGTGGGCTGAGGATGGAAAGCGGGGCTTATTAGACATTCCACCTATAAAAATAAGAATGCAGGAAGGTAGTCCACGAGTACGGGTTAAGCAGTATCCAATCTCTTTGGAAGGGAGAAGGGGCCTGGCTGAGATCGTAGAGCAATTACTGCAAGAGGGAATTTTAGAACCTTGTATGTCACCCCATAACACTCCCATACTAGCAGTTAAGAAACCGAAGGGAAATACCGGTTGGTACAGGACTTGAGGGAGGCAAACAAGAGGACTGTGTCTAGGCACCCAGTTGTCCCCAGTCCCTACAATCTCCTCAACCGGATTCCAAGGGACCATGCTTGGTTCACAGTTATAGACCTGAAGGATGCCTTTCGGGCATGTCCTCTGGCAGAGGAATGTAGAGACTGGTTTGCTTTTGAATGGGAAGATCCTAATACAAAAAGGAAACAACAACTGAGATGGACTAGGCTGCCTCAGGGGTTCACCGAATCCCCAAATCTTTTTGGACAAGCCCTAAAGAAATTGTTTGTGGGAGGGGGTGTGGCTGATGGCCCCCCCTGCTCTGCCTTGGGAGGCAACTGACGTTTAGTTTCCCGCCTCCCCCGGTTGTCAGTCTTTTGTTATCCCTTCCCCCTGTTCCTGTCAGTCATTGTGTACTCCTTCCCCCAGTTCTGGAAAGTTCTAAGTTCTTTGTATCCCAATTGGTTCTCCCCCCGAAACCACTCCTTCCCTCTATCCCGGTTGGCTGCTGCCCTGTCGCTCTTCCCTGACTCCACCCTCAAGCCCTCACCTCGTTGGATGTTTTGCACCCTGACCCTCCTTCCCAGTTGCAGTTATAATCCCTGCCCCGCCCCTGGTTCGGGGCTCTCGGAGCTGGCTTCCCTTCCGAGCGGTTGCTTCCCTTCGTCCCCCACCTCGCTCTCCTTCACCTGAACCCTTGGAAATAAAGCCACCCGTGAGTCACCCGCCTTCAGTGGAAGCTTGTCATTTCTTCAACCATCGAGACGCCTGCGGACTGGATCCTGTGGCTGCTCATAATGATTCCAGGACCCAGGTGCCTCAATTGTTGTAGCAATTTACTCCCGAAGGAGAAGTACGAATTCTACAGTATATAGATGATCTGATGGTGTCCGGAAAAGAACAAGACCAAGTCAAAATGGCTAGCATACAACTTTTAAACTTTTTGGGAGAAAAGGGGCTAAAAGTTTCCCAGAAGAAATTACAGTTTGTGCAACCAGAAATCACCTACTTGGGACACCGAATAGGGGAAGGTTACAAGAAATTGAGCCCTGAGTGAATCTCAGGTATTTTATCCCTTCAAGCTCCAAAAACTAAAAGGGATGTTAGGAAACTCCTGGGTATATTTGGATATTATAAACTATGGTTAGACCAATATACCCAAAGTGTAAAGTTCTTATATGATAAGTTGGTAGCCCCTGATCCCATAATTTGGACAGCAGATGATGAATGGCAACTGGAGACTCTAAAGAATAAGATGTCATCAGCCCCAGTTTTAAGTTTACCAGACCTTCGGAAAGATTTTGATCTTTTTGTAAGTGCTGAAGAGGGCATAGCCTATGGAGGATTGACCCAAGAATGGGGGAGCTGTAGAAAACCTGTAGCCTATCTCTCTAAATTACTGGACCCCATGACTCGAGGCTGGCCAGTCTGTGTACAAGCAGTGGTGACAAATGCTATTTTGTTAGAAGAAGCTCAGAAATTGACTCTGCAAGGAAAAATTAGGGTACATACTCCACATGATCTAAAAACCGTTTTAAGTCAGAGAGCTCAGCAATGGTTAACTGATGCCAGAATATTGTGATATGAAATTGTATTAATGAACACTTATAATCTAGAATTGGTCACAACCAATGCACTTAATCCAGCATAATTCCTTATCGGAGAACCTGTAAAGAATTTGGAACATGAATGCCTTGAATTAATTAATCTCCAAACCAAAGTGAGGGAAGACTTAGAGGACCAGCCTCTAACCACAGGGAGAATTCTGTTTATAGATGGCTCATCAAGGGTAATAGAGGGTAAAAGAGTGTCGGGTTATGCCATTATAGATGGCAAGACTCTATACACACTAAAAAAGGGAAATTGCCCTCAAACTGGTCAGCTCAGAGCTGCGAGGTGTATGCCCTTAAAAGAGGCTTAGACTTGTTAGAAGGAAACCGGGGGACCATTTATACAGATTCACAGTATGCATTTGGTATAGTTCATACATTTGGAAGAATTTGGGAAGAACGTGGATATTTAAGCTCAAAGGGGGAAAATTTGGCTCATGAGAACTTGGTGAGATCTGTGTTAGAGTCTCTGCAGAAACCAAAAGAAATAGCAGTTGTCCACATAAAATGACACCAAAGAGAGGACAGTCTTGAAGTCAGAGGAAACCGGCTAGCTGACCAAACGGCTAAGGAGGCAGCCATAGAACCAAGAGATCCAGTAAGGATCTTTGTAGTAGACAATACCCCCGGGGAGGGAAGGAGAGAGGAAGAACCCATATTCAGTGAGAAGGAACTGGAAGCAATGAAAGACTTGAAGTTATATCAGGGGAATCGAGGAGAGTGGCTGACACCAGATGGGAGGGTGTTTTTAAATAAGGCACTAGCCAGATCAGTGCTAACTGAACTACATAAGTTTACCCACTGGGGAACCCAGGGATTGTGTGACCATTTTCTGAGGAACAATCTGTGTCTAGGAGTGTATGAATTAGCTAAGACCATCACAAAAGGGTGATTAGTTTGTCAGAAAGTAAATCAGAAAGTCATGAGAAAAACTGAACATGGAGGGAGAGATTTAACCCTGTAGACCTTTTCAGAGCATTCAAATAGACTTTACTGAGATGCCCCCAATACAAGGGTACAAACATCTACTTCTCATAGTAGATCACCTCACTCATTGGGTAGAAGCCTTTCCTACTAAAAAAGAAACTGCCCAGGTGGTGGCAAAGATAATTTTGGAAAACATCATCCCACGGTATGGGCTAGTAAACACTATTGACTCAGATCGAGGTCCTCACTTTGTAGCTCAGACACTACAAAGTGTAATCGAGGGTCTAGGTATAAAATGGAGATTACACACCCCATGGCTCCCCAGAGCTCTGGGAGAGTGGAGCAGATGAATAAGACCCTTAAGAATGTGTTAACAAAGCTGATTGAATAAACAAAAATGAATTGGCTAAGATGTTTACCCCTAGCACCGTTGCGTGTTAGAACAAGAACTCGATCTGACTTGGGAGTTTTGCCTTACGAAATTATGTTTGGTCTACCATTTTTTTTAACGCCTTATAGCACCGAGGACTATTTAGAAGGGGAGGAGGCTACTAGGAAATACTTAGATGTTATTGGAAGAACTCTAGAAGGACTCAGGAAAAAGGGGTATCTTTCCCAGACTCCTCCTTTTGACACAAAGGTACATAATATTAACCCTGGAGATTGGGTTCTGATAAGATCCTGGAATAACGGACCACTAACTCCTAAATTTGAAGGCACATTCCAGGTACTTCTAACTACCAACTCTGCCGTACAAACCAGGGAAAAGGGCTGGACACACATTGCGAGAGTGAAAGGACCAGTTTCATCCCCTGGATCAGATTCAGCATCACCCTCATCAGATTCAGCACCGTCTCCATCCCCTGGACCGGACTCGGCACTAGCTCTGCACCCTAATCTGAGAAAGGACTCAGACATGTCACAGAGTAACCGATTTGAGTACACAATTATTTTGATCACATTAGTGAACAACTCACTCAGACTCGAACAGTCATTTATCAAATCAGATTGGCTGTAGACTACCTTTTAGCTGATGAAGGAGGAATTTGTGGAAAGTTCAATTCCTCAGAGTGTTGTTTAGAAATTGATGACAAAAGTGCAGTTATCAAAAATATTTCGAGTGAAATAAGAAAATTAGCATACGTTGGTGACCAAAAGTTGACTCCTATCCTCGATTCCAACTGGTGGGACAACCTGTGGTCTTTTAAAGGGGATTGGTGGAAAAAAGCAGCTTTTTTTACTGTGTGTATCATTGCCAGTTTTATCTTCTTACCTTGTTTACTTCCCTGCCTCATGAAGGCAGTAACCTCTGCAGTACAAACCAACCAGGGATTAATCTGAAACAAGAAAAGGTAATGAGTGTAAAGAGTCATGAATATGGAAATGCACAAGAAATGTATAACCAATTCCAAAATCTTAGAAAGATTTATGCCCAAGAGCCAGAGACTGCAAATTGATGTGGGCTGTTAAGCCCGATCAAAGAAAAAGGGGGAGGACTGTTATAAAAAGAAGAATTATAAAGTTATGTTAACCTCGTTATAAGGTTGTTATTGTTGTTAATCACTTACCTGTGTTCATTCCTGGTTAGAAATCCTCCTGTGTTAGGTGCTGTTTCGCTGTGCTGCCAGCTGTTGCTTCCTGGAAAATGGTGACCGGGCCTGTGAGGAGGAAGTGACATCAGAGACAGTATGCAAATGCAAGAACTCCTCAGAAAACACACTAAAATCCCCTGGAACTACGAGCCTGCACAAAATTATGGACCAGGACACTTGCAGAAGGTTGAGCAACTAACTCTGGGACCCAGAGGGAGGCTTTTAATCTGTTGCTCTAACCTACAGAAACCCAGAGTAGCATGAGGACCCCAGACTTTGACACAGACTGTGAGAAGAAGGGAAAAAGCCCTACCGCTCTCGCGAGGATGGGTCTCCCAGCTCTGCCTGCTCATGAAGCGGACAAAGCTGCATTTCCTCCTCCTCAGCGTCCCTCTGGGAAGCAGTGGCGGCGTGTGCACAGCCTGTCAGGCCCCCACCCGAGCTGATCTCGCTAAATAAAGGCATTTTTAAGGAGAATCATCTCCTGCCCATTTATTACAGGCACGGCCATCCCCGCCGTGCTTCCCAGGCACGGCCATCTTCGCCGTGCTTCCCTGGCACGGCCATCCCCGCCGTGCTGCCCGGGTACCGCCATCCCCGCCGTGCTGCACAGGCACCACCTGCCCGACGCACCAGCCTGCTGTAGCGACCCACCTGTCGCCGCCACCTGCATTCAGTTGTGCCCCCTAAGTTGATTAGGAACCTTTCTTGATACCTGACCTAAACCTCCCTTGACACAATGTGAGGCCGTTCCCTGGGGACCTGTCCCTGTCACCACAGAGCAGAGATCAGTGCCTGCCCCTCTTCTGCCCCTCAGAGGAAGTTGTAACTGCAGTGGTGTCTCTCCTCAGTCTACTCCAGCTGAACAGACCCAGTGCCCTCTGCCACTCCTCACGTGGCTTCCCTTTGTTATGAATAAGAAATTGCTTCTTTCTACAGGCCTATTGTTAACTTGTTGTGGATCAATTACCTGTTGTTCATTCCCTTTTTACTAGGGTTAAGTAACCTTAACTAAATCAGGCAATTTTGTTTTAAGTCCTGGCTAAAGCAGGTCAGGAACGAGCCTTGGAAAAGGAGGCCGAGGTCTCGGGTTTTTCTGAAGTCCTGATAAAGATCAGGCAGTTGTGTTAAGTCCTGATGAGGGAGGTCAGGCAAATAGAGCTTTGGTAGAAGAGGCCGGAGCTCCTTGAATAGGATTTCTCGTTATCTGAGTTGCCTGTCAGTACATTTCCTTTCGAGTAGAGGCACCTTTGTGATTTTTGGTTGAAAGGTAATTTAGTGATTCTTTTTTTGGGCCAAACAAACTTTTTTTGTGGGTTGTAAGATTTAGGTTGCCTGTCAGTTTATTTCCTTTTGGGTAGAGGCACCTTTGGGATTTTTTTGGCCAGAAAATGGGAGGATGTAATTGTAAGAAGACAGGTTCCTTTAAGATCAAAGGGAGAGGGAAGCAGATAAGGAGCATTCCCCCTAGTAGTCCCCTGTGTGAATTTTTAGAGGAATGGGATTCAATAGAAGCCACGAAAGGGCTAGATAAGATCAAGGTGATACACTATTGTGTAGAAGTATGGCCAAACCTAGATGTGAAAGGAGGATGGCCATGGTGTGGGACAAAACATAAGTGGATGTGTCAACAAGTAAGTCAGTATCTGAAAGCTCAAGCGGATACTGATCCCGAGCAACTATTATATGCAACCTGTTTGCTAAAGAGTATAACTAAGGATAAAAGTGTACGAGTGTGCAAAGTACATAAGAAAAAAGAGGAGAATAAACAAGGAGAGGAGGTAGAAGAAGAAATTAGTAAGAAGAGGACCATTGCTAGACATCCAGTTGTGCCCAACCCGTATTGTCTTCTAAGCCAAATTCCAAGGAACCATGCTTGGTTCACTATTACAGATCTAAAGGATGCTTTCTGGGCATGTCCCCTAGCAGAGGAATGTAGAGATTGGTTTGCCTTTGAATGGGAGGACCCAGATACAAAAAGGAAACAGTAGCTAAGATGGAGCTAAGATTACCCCAAGGGATCATTGAATCCCCTAACCTCTTTGGACAAGCCATGGAGGCTTTGTTAGAACAGTTTATCCCCAAGGAAGATGTACAGATCCTGCAGTATGTAGATGGTGTCAGGAAAAGAGAAAGACCAAGTCAAAACAACTAGCATTAAACTTCTAAATTTTCTGTGGCAGAAAGGACTAAAAGTTTCACAAAAGAAGCTACAATTCATACAGTCCAAAATAACATACCTTGGGCATAATAGGAGAGGAATATAAGAAGCTGAGCCCTGAGAGAATCTCAGGTGTTTTATCTCTCCCAGCTCCAAAACCCAAAAGGGATGTAAGAAAGCTCCAAGGCCTATTTGGATATTGCAAGCTATGATTAGACCAATACACACACAGTGTAAAATTATTCTATGATAAATTGGTAGCTCCAGATCCCATAATTTGGACAGCAGAAGATGAACAACTGGAAAGCCTAAAAGACAAGTTACCTTGTGCCCCAGTCCTAAGCTTACCAGACCTTAGGAAGGAGTTTGATCTTTTCATGGGTGCTGAAGGCGGCATAGCCTATGGTGTACTAACTCAAGAGCGGTGAGACTGCAGGAAACCCATGGCTTATATTTCCAAATTGTTAGACCCTGTGGCTAGAGGCTGGCCAGTTTGTGTACAAGCAGTAGCAGCTACTGCTATCCTGATAGAGGAGACTCAAAAATTGACATTACAAGGAAAAATCAAAGTACATACTCCACATGACCTCAAAACAATTTTGAGCCAAAATGCTCAACAATGGCTAATTGATGCCAGAATTTTAAAGTAAGAAGTAATACTAATGAATACAGATGATTTAGAATTGATCATATCAAATGCCCTCAATCCAGCACAATTTCTTATGGGGAGCCTATAGAAAATTTAGAACATGATTGCCTTGAATTGATTAACCTCCAAACAAAAGTAAGAGAGGATTTGGAAGATCAGCTTCTAGCAAATGGAAAAAAAATCTTTTTTATAGACGGTTCTTTGAGGGTAGCAGATGGAAAAAGAGGTTCAGGTTACCATCACAGATGAAGAAACTTTACAAATTAATGAAAAACAGAAATTACCTCCAAACTGGTCAGCCCAAAGTTGTGAAATACATGCCCCAAAAAGAGGATTAGATTTTTTGGAAGGAGACTGGGGAAGCATCTATACAGATTCCCAATATGCATTCAGGATAGTCCACACATTTGGGAAAATATGGGAGGAGTGGATATCTAAGCTCAAAAGGAAAAGGTCTAGCTCATGAGAATTTGGTCAGGTCCATACCAGAATCTCTACGGAAACCAATAGATATAGCTGTGGTCCATAGAAAAAGGGCACGAAAAAGGGGATGACTGCTGCAGTGTCAGTTCCTTAGAAGTAACCAGCCCAGCCTTGATTGACCCCGCAGGCAGCAGTGGCCACCTTCCCAGTCCTCGGAAGGTCATGACAGCGGCTTGTGGATCTGAACACCCCAGTCTCAGAGAGACTTTTGTGGCGAGGACAAAAGTGGGAGTTGACTTCTTGCAGGGGTTTATAATCCAGGTTTATTAGGTGACTCTGAGGAGACACCTAAGCTAAAGGGAAACAGCCTGCAGAAATAGAAACCACACATGAAGGAGATGAGGAACCCATATTTAGTGAAAAGGAATTAGAAGCAATAAAAGATTTAAAGTTACATCAAGGGGAATGGGGGGAGTAGTTAACATCAGATGGACAGGTGTTTTTAAACAAAGCACTCGCCCAGACAGTGCTAACAGAACTATATAAATTAACCCACTGGGGAGTCCAAGGACTATGTGATCATTTGCTAAGAAATAACCTGTGCATAGGTATATACGACTTAGCAAAAGCAATTATGAAAGGGTGTTTAATTTGCCAAAAAATAAACCAGAAAGTTATGAGGAAAACTGCACTTGGAGGGAGGGAATTGGCTCTAAGACCTTTCCAGAGCATACAGATAGATTTCACTGGGATGCCCCCAGTGCAAGGATACAAACATCTACTGGCTATGGTGGATCGTCTCACCCATTGGGTGGAAGCCTTCCCGACCAGAAAGGAAACAGCCCAGGTCATGGCAAAGTAATTTTAGAGAACATTATCCCCAGATACAGAATGGTAAAAACCATAGACTCAGATCGAGGTCCACATTTTGTCGCCCAGACACTGCAAAACGTAATTGAAACCATAGGAATAAAATGGAGATTGCACACTCCATGGCACCCCCCAGAGTTCTGGAATAGTGGAGTGGATGAACAAAACTCTCAAAAATGTATTGACGAAATTGATTGAAGAAACAAAAATTGTTTGCCCCTAGTGCTTTTGCGCATCAGAACAAGACTCCAACCTGATATAGGAATTTCACCCTTTGAGATGATGTTTGGATTACCATTCTTGTTAACACCCTATAGGACAGGGGACTATTTAGAATGAGAAGAAGCTACCAGGAAATATTTAGAGGTCATTGGAAGAACTCTGGAAGGACTTAGAAAAAGAGGATACCTGCCCCAAACCTCCCCTCTTGACACAAAAGTGCATAGCATTATTCCAGGAGATTGGGTTTTGATAAAATCCTGGAATAGTGGACAGCTAAAATGCCTAAATTTGAAGGCCCCTTCCAGGTACTCCTCATCACTAATTCTACTGTGCGGACCAGAGAGAAGGGTTGGACACACATCACAAGGGTCAAAGGACCAGTCTCACCCCCTGGCATTGGACCAGATTCAATGTCAGTTTCACCTCCTGATACTGGATCAGATTCAACCCAAGTCTCACCCCCTGGCACTGGACCAGATTCAACACCAGTCTCGTCCCCTAATCCAGGACAGGATTCAACCACATCACAGGTTAATCCACCTGTGTATACCATTATAAAAGGACTAAAAGATTTAAAGTTGATTCTCAAAAGGAAGAACAAGAAGATTGATGAACTGATAAAAAGGGGTCTTGTTTTAGAATTGAAAAGGGTTTTAAACCAGTTGTGTATGTTCAAAGGAGTTCTAGAAAAGGGTTATCAGTTGTTAATAAGTGTTGTGTGATTCTAAGTGTTTTAAAAATAGTCCTGATTCTAGTTAAGTCCCCCAACTAAACCTCAAGACCCCCAGGTCAGTCTTCTACAGAGCACTCCCCTAGGTGAGGACAAAATTGGTAGGAGTAGAGAGGTTTAGCCAGAGAAGGGCAGAAAAGACTCTACAAGACTCTGAACATCCCCAAGAGACAAGGCCGGGTGGGCAGGCTGTGCAAGATGACCTATACCAGACTCTTGGGTAGGGTGGTCTGGGGTAGGGTGGTAGTCATAGCTATAATGGCTAACGGGGTTCTGGGGAACCTGGGGGAGCCATGTAGCAAATGCTACCAACCCCTTTACGGAGAAGAGGAAGTGAGCTCCTTACTAAGAGTCCATACCAACTTGAACCCTAATTGTGTTAACCTCTTGCAACTAATTTCTTGTCAAGAGAACAAAAAAGC